AACCCCATATTAATCAGTCCGAAGACAGCCGAAAATCAGCCTTCAGAACGTCTTACTTGTAAGTTACTACTGCATTATTTAAGACAGTAGTCTTTAAAAAAGAACATGAAAAACACGACACATTCTGATCTAACTGCTGTACTCAATTCTGAATCAGATGTCGATCGTAACATTAAGGGGTATGTGACTTGAAAACCTTGGGCATGCCTACTCCATTACGTCTATATAACCTTGTACCTGCATGCTCAGTTGAGAATTGGGATCTATTCCATTCCGTCTATACCCTATACCGTCTATACATTCTCATCACAGGTATGGAGTCCAGTGTGCTAAATAATTGAACACGACCACTGGTAGTCTTCTGCTCGGTATCATTGACCCTACCCTCTTCCTGGAGTCACTTCATCCAATGCAACTGTGCCACTAACTACCGTTTTCGCCTGAATAGAACGCTGTGTAATGATCGCCGTATCTGGGCTGAGAGTTGTGCCAAATACAGCTATAATGACCGGGCGTTCTATTCGGGTGAAGATGGTAGTGCCACCTGAAATCTACGCAAGTTTCAAAAGCTCTGCACCAAAGAATGCTGGTCAGAAGTAAAAAGATCAGTAGAGAAACTATTTCACCATTCTTCAACAACACATAGGAACCGTACTGTACAAGAAAACCACGAAACACAAAACGTAATTTATCACTGAAACAGATTGCAGCCCATATCAAAAGCGATTTTGCACATCTTCTGCCTGTTCCTTTCCTCATTCCTTTCATTTTCCATTTTTTTTTTCCCAAGCAATGTCAGCAATTAGTTGTACTGTAGTAGAAACAAGAAAGAAAAACAAAGTAGCCGAGTACATATTCCAGCTAAAGATGCGTTCAACATACACACCATGCTCTTGACACCAGATGATTGACTTAGATAGCTGCATGCAGAGCGCACTCACTGCGTTGAGGAGAGATTGGATCCACTCACTTCTCTGATATCTCAGAATATGGCGCCTGAAGAAATGACGGAATTGCGAGTTACATGGATGTGCAGCCTGCATCGATAGTAACCGCTTAGGCAGGTCTCTCCAGGAGCGCTTCTCTTGTTCTGCCAGGAGAGCTTGCCACATCGCACAAAAACCTCGCAAGATTTAAAGTCTCTGACTGGGTTGATGACTATATCACAGCGAGGTTTTGTAGCTTAGCAAGGAGCTCCAGCTCTTCATATCTCCTATTGTACTCCTCCTTCAATGCCAGTTCCTTGTGTTCAGAGAACCATGCCCAGGCCTCGCTCACATGCTTCTCGAGATCCGTGTGGCCCATGCTGGATGAACCTTGGACTCGCAACCCTACGATCAACTTCCACAGCCTATTCTCAGAACTTTTAGCTGCCCAGATCTTTGCATCCTCCGCTTTTGCTTGTGGCATGTACCAGTCCGTTTCCTCTCTGATGTTGGCCGAGTCCTGCACAAAATCCGTATCAAGTGTAACGGTGGTTTCGACCTTTCTCCCGATATCTTCATGGTTTGCAATCGCCTCTGCTGTCGCGTGCAGGATCCCGTTCTCGTCTATTTTGATCACGGCCTCGATCGATCTATCCAGGGTTGCAAGGCAGGGAGTGAAACCATCCAGCTTGAGTTCACCAAGCAGCCGGTTATTTTGACAGAGAGCACGGTCACCTTCATACAACGCCGTCCAAGCTGACTTCTGGAAGTCCAGTAAAACAAAATACGCACTTTCACTTGCTGGAAGGGGAGAGTTTCTAGGAATAACCACATGCATAACACCAAACCTTGTCTCAACCGCGATACTGACCGATGTGACATCACAAACGGATATGGATGCCTTTGCGAACTTATCTCGTCTGGCCAGCAACCCGGCCTGTACTGCAGCTCCAAATGCCACAGCCTCATCAGGGTTGACAGACTTGATGGGGGGCTTGCCGAAGAATGCCATCAGCATCTCTTGCAATTTTGGAGTCCTTGTGGATCCACCCGCCAGCAGCACCTCAGAGATCTCGCCCTTGCTGATCTTCGCATCACGAAGAGCTTGTTCGACGATCGTCATGCACCTGTGGAACAGGTCTTGGTTCAGGGCCTCGAACTTGGTGCGCTCCAATCTCACGGTGAGGATATCATCACCACCACAATCCAGGTCGATCTCCGCCTCCGTTTTGACGGACAGATCATGTTTCGCATCCACGACCAGCTGGTTGAGCTTTTTGCGAATCCTTGGCTTGACCAGCAAATCCTCCCTTTCAAGCTGACTCCTGAACTGCTCCGCTACGTGCTGAAGCAGCCGTTTGTCTATATCAGTCCCCCCAAGATGTGAGTCTCCTGCGACTGCTTTCACTACAAATGTGAAGTCGTTTTGAGTCCCCTCTTTCATGGTGACAATGGAGACGTCGAATGTACCCCCACCCATGTCGAACACCAGGACATTCTTCCCGACCACAACAGAGACATCGGAAGTTCCCCCGCACATCTTGGACACCGGGACGTTCTTCCCCACTGCATCTACAGCCCGCCTGATCAAGCTCTCTCGATATTCGTCCCAGCGATCGTAATTCCGGCAATCAAGTTTAAAGTGCCGAACTTCACCGCAGCGCCAGCATGCCATATTCGGACAATCGCGTTTATAGTGCCCCAGTTCATCGCACTCCCAGCATCTTTCCCCATATCTACTTCCTCCACCATAGCTACTCCGAATCACTGGCGGATGCCCATTCACCGCTGAGTCTCCTCCAACGGTCTTATTCCCTATCAACCGCTGATGGCCGTAAGCCAGAGCAGCGGCCGTAGGTTCACTAATCAGCCGCAGCACATTTAATCCTGCACTGACCCCGGCGGCCATAGTCGCCTTCTATGACGGTAGTTAAAGTACGCAGGTACACTGATGACCGCATCCTTAATCGGACGTACATTGGCGTAGTCCTCCGCAATGGACTTCATCTTCTTCAGCAACGAGGCGGAAATTTCTTTTGGTCTGTATTCCTTCTCACCGACATTAACAAGAACTTCGCCGAGTGGACCCGATGACAACTTGAAAGGACACCTCTGTGAATCTTGCTGGACGGAGGCATCGCGTAATGATTGCCCCATTAACCTCTTGACCTCGAATATGCACTGCTCCGGATACTTCATGCCACGTTTCCTCGCAGCCTCCCCCACCAGACAAGTGTCCTTATCACAGAATGCCACGTAGGATGGTGTTATCCTGGCCCCGAGTTCATTTGGAACGATTTCGATCTTGTCCATGTTGAAAACCACAGCAGCACAG